GTCTTCATAAAAGTCAAAGTGCTTTCCAACATCAAACCTGAATATGATGTATACCTTGAGTGCTTTACATTTGCTAAAGAAAAACTCACTTTGACAGTTTTGATGGTAAATTAGTAGATTCAGGAATCAAAAATAATAATAGTGTTTCAGTTTTGCAAGATGAAGAGTTCTGGAAATTGGCTGTACCACAATGTGAATATACTTAACACTACTGAACAGTACACTTAAAAATGGTTAAGATGGTAAGTTTTATGTTGTATTTTTAACACAATTAAAAATAAACAGAAGAGAGAGAGGGAATTGGATGAAGGCAGGTATAGGATAAATAAGTACTAAGGCTGTTATGTAGGAAATGGCAACTCACTACAGTATTCCTGCCTGGGAAACCCCAGCGGGGCCTGACAGGCCACAGTCCATGGGGTCATAACGAGTCAGGTATGACTGAATGACTGAGCATCCATGCACACGCACAGGGATGTAATGTACAATAAATGTAATTAATACTGTTGTATGTTATATAAGAAAGTTAAGGGTAAACTCTAAGAGTAAACTCAGAAGGAAAAGAACACTTTTTTCTATTTCTTTAACTTTGTATTTATATGATGGATGGTCACTGAACTTACTGCCATAATAACTTCATCATGTATATACAATCAAATCATTATGCTGTGCTGCTTAAACTTATAGTGCTATATGTCAATCACACTCGATAAAACTGGAAGAATATATAAATTAATTAATTGCCTGCTGAGGGGAGACATTTACTCCAGTAAACATATTTGCAAACCAGATGATGTGTAGGGCATCAAAGTGAATTCCAATGTAACAAAGTGAAGTCACTCAGTCGTGTCCGACTCTTTGCCACCGAATGGACTGTAGCCCACCAGGCTCCTCCCTCCAGGGAATTCTCCAGGCAAGAATACTGGAGTGGGTTGCCATTTCCTTCTCCAGAATGTAAGAAAAGGCATGCGCAATTTTTTTTAATTAAAATTACTGACAAAGTAGAAGGGAGTTTGGAAGTAATTCAGTTCAACCACCTTATTTCACAAACAAGAAAAATAATCATGGAAGAGAAAAGAGCATTAACCAAGCTAGAGGAAAAACTAGGGTCAAAACCAAGGTTTTATTCAGAATACAGGGCTATCTTAAATATACCACATTACAATCCCAAACAATTCAAGAACTAAAGGCTAGAATTTATTGGATTAACTCCCCGTGCTTAACTTAATGAAGAGTTAAAAATAACATTGCAGGTAGGAGTTTATAGTCCTGAATTCTCACCGGGTCTCTATCTGTGGGATCTCAGACAAATCACTGAGCACTGCAATACTGTATTACCTCATGGGATTAATGTGAGAATCAAAGGAAAAGCCCAGTTACAAAAGAAAAGTGTAACCATCTTCACCCTCATCCCTTCACACTCTCTGATGTCAGGCTTCAATCTCTATGTGAGGGAGGGAAAGGAACAGTTAATATAAACTAGTACAGTTCTGACTAGCTGGAGTTTTGCTATTCTGGGTTTACCTGAGGAGGAAGGAAGGAAGGGAGAGAATGGGAAGGTGGGAAGGTTGTTCCTAATGGGCAAAGAATAACCCCCTTCCAAAGGAAAATACTGGGAATCCCTGGTGGCCCAGCAGTGAAGAAATCTGCCTGCAATGCAGGAGATGCAGGTTGGATCCCCGAGTCAGGAAGATCCCCTGGAGCAGGAAATGGCAACCCAGTCTTCTTGTCCGGAGAACCCATGGACAGAGGAGCCTGGCGGCCTACAGTTCATGGGGTCGCAGTCAGACATAACCCAGCACGAGAACAAAGGAAAGTATTACCCATACCTCCTATCAACTAAAAACTCTTAGATGCACAAGCTTTCATACAATTCATGTTAAAATTATCTTTTTTCCCAGTGTAGGGCCTATAAAACTTTTTACCTTTAGCATATTTCAAAAAATTATGTAAGTTACTTGGGTGTATATTTTATCTTTCCTTCTCAACTGCAGATGTGTCAGCAGGGACTCACAGTATTAAGCCTTTAAGAGTTATTTCTGAGTAGTTTTGATTAGGACAACATTCAGCTGAAATATAAAGATAGGCACCTGGAGTTGTGATTAAATGAACTGGACGAAAGGAAAGACCTGAATGCAAAGAGAGACAAGAACTTTATCTCCCTTTGTCTTGCCCAACTCCTTCTCAACCTCTATGATTTAATTCTAAGCAGACGTCCTCTACTAACAGTCTACAGAGCCACAAGTTTATTTATAGGTATTTTTATATTCATAACACTTTATAAAAATACAATGTTTTCACTTCAGGAATGAAATTATTTATAGGAAAGTACAAATGGGTATTTTTTAGTAAGTTAACTCACTGGGCAAACAAATTTTATGTAAAATGTTTACCATATAAAACAATTTTTTAAAAGAAAAAAATTGCACATTCTGTGAATTTCCACTTACATGTAGAATCTCATGTTAACTATCATAGTAATATTTTAATTTGTATAATTATAGCAATTGAAAATAAAAATCACAGATTTAACATTTTTCCTGCACTCACACAATATACCTTAATTTTCAAAATATCAGAAAAAGAACATCCTTGAGACAAAAGCCAAGCTCCAAATACCAGAATTCATATATCTTTTCCAAACTAACTCACGGAAATTTTTACTACAGTATAAAGTAACTATAAAATGGAAACAGAATATTTGGGGATTCCACAGATTAGTCCACTTTTTCCACAAATTTCTTAAGTACTACCCAGGGAGCTTATAAAAACTGCAGATTACCACAATCCTTCCCTAGAGATTCTGATTCAGTTGCTCTGGACAGGACAAAAATTTTTATTTCTCCAAGTGATTCTGAAGATTAGCTAAGATTTATATTGATCTCATAGACTGGTTTTCAATTTGGTACATACTATACCTACCTGAGGAGCTTTAAGAAATCTTAAAGCTCAGACCAATGGAAATGACTTCAATACTTTTTAAAAAGCTCCCCAGAGAAGGATGAGAACCTCTAACCCCTCTGCACAATTAAGAAACTAAGCTTGCTCAAGTTCACAGAGCTAATGATAGCGAAGTTGGGAGTTAGAACCATTTCTCCCGATTGCTAGATCACTTTGTTTTCAGATAGTTATTCTCATACAGGTTGACCAAAACAGGTGTGAAAAAGAAAAATCTATCTTCTCGCCTCAGAAAAATACTGTCACCTAACAAATGGATAAATTAAAACTGAGCCAATCTTACTGCTTCAGAAATCACCAGAAAATATTTTCTTAATCCTAATATAAAGCAATAAAAAAAAAAAACACTACTGCTTAATCTTTAGTTCCTACTACTAATCTGGTTACATATATCTTACAAAGAACTGTTTAAAATTTAATTTTTAACTTCTGATTCACTAATTTATCTTTTTGATTCGTATTTTAAAACAAATTATTTTTAAATTCTGGCATCACAGGTCCTTACTAGCAAATTAAATCAAGATCTGTAAATTTGGCAACACGACTTCTTCCTTATGTAGAATACATAACTCTACATATTAAAGTTGCTCTGTGAACTAACAGAGAACAGTGTTCCTTCTTCCACACACAAGAATGAATTTTAGGCTGCATTAGCAAAACTCCCATCATCAGTTTGTCCACAGATCCTCGGAGTGGAAAACTTCTCAAAGTATTAGTTAACCCCTTTCAAGAATTTTCTCATTTTAGTAATAGGATAATGGAAAATAATTATGAAAAATGTGTCAAGTGCAAGCTTACCTGCCCATAATTTTTCTAAGAGCATTTTGACTTTCTAAAAATTACATGTTTACTTGACTTGCTTTCTGGTGACCTACATTAATTATTATAGCACCAAAACTGTTAAAATAACATTTTTATCCCTCTCAAGGTTGTCAGATGTTTTGATATTTCAAATTTCAGGAATGTTTGTGATTTCTGCTTTTAGGTTTAAAAGTGGTATACTTTACCAAAAGCAGGTCACATTACTCCACAGGTAAAATTTCAGCAATTAGTATACAGCCTAGAGTACAATGTACACTTTTGATTAATTCATTCGCAAAGGAGTAATTTGCCAGGTTCTGGATCTTTTAAATATTCTAAACAAGAATCAGATGCAGTGGATTTTGTTCCAGCAGTTTTAATGAATGAAAGTACACCCTTTCTTTTTTATTAAGTTGGATAGCAACAGAAATTAAAAACCTAACCAAAAGTTAAGTACGCTATTTAAAATATGTAAACACCCCCCAAACTGTTCCTTGGAACCAAGAATGGGCCTCTTAAGTCATAGTAAATACTAAAAAAAAAAAACAAAATCTCAGAATAATGTTCAAATGATACACAGAATTTAGAAAATCGGGCTAGACTGGACGATCCATGGAGCTCGCACAGTAGGAGAAAACTGTGCTACAAGAGCAGGTTTGCAAAATCTTAACTATTTTGTATTAAACGTCTGAAACTCGCCATGTCCGATTGCGAGAGATAAGCCTGTAACAGATACACGGCTTTAGGGATTGCTTAAAATTTTTCCTAAAAAGAGACCAAAAAAAAAAAAAAACACCCACGCATGTTTATTTTCAGGAGCTAGGGTCGAAGTCAAAAGAAATCACCAGTTACTGACAATTCTTGACGGGTCCTCGTTGCGCAGGGAGGCCGGACCCCGCACCGGGTGCCGCCTCCTCCGAGCGCGGGCTGGACCGCAGCCCCGAGCCGCGCGCAGCAGCCGCCCGGCGCCGCCGCCGAGCCCGCCCGGGGGCGGGGGGCTCGCACGTGCGACCGGGGGCGGGGCCGGCCGGGAAGGCCCCCGCGCGGGAAGGCGGGCGCGGCCGGGCCGGCCTCCCCGCGGCCGCGAGCCCGGGCTTTCCGTCCGGGCGCGTGTCACGGGAACGGATGGAGCCACACAGAGACGTCCGAGTCATGCAGGAGGCGCGCGGCCCCGGCCCGCTCCCGCCGCCCCAGACCCCTCCTCTCCGCCGACAGAAAGACAGACAAGAAGGGTTCCCGACCTGTCGTGCCCTGCATGTTCAGAGTCTGTCATGTTTGGTCAAGAACGGGGCGGGGCTGGAGGGCAGGTCTGCGAGGCCGGCGGCGGCGGGGCGCGGGGAGAATCCCTGCGCCTCCTGCGGGTACCTGTTCCCGGCCGCCGCCGGGAGGTGACGAAGTGGTAAAAACTCACGGTTACTAGTGAGCGACACAGACACAGACTTTCCAGTCTATTAACAACCACGCCAGAGAGGTGGGGCTCTAACTGCCAACACTGGGCCACGGCCCCGCGCTGCCGGCGCTGCCGCTTTAGTCTCTATTCGCCGCCGGAGGCTGAGGCTTGGGAGCGGGCGGGCGGCGCGCAGCGACGCGGGGATTTGGACAGTGGCCGTAACGGTGATTTCTCCTCACCAACATGGCGGCACCCGAGACAGGCGGCTCGATAAAATGGCGCCTGCCGCAACACCTAGCCCGGGACTAAAGGGCAGGAGAGATTCCTCCGCGTGCCGCGGCCCTTGCCCAGCCCGCTGGGGCCGAGCGCGCCGGCCATTGGAGGACGCGTCCCGTCAATCACCTTCGAGAGCGAACTCTCCCGCTTCCCCAGCGAAGTGGCGGAGGAGGCAGTCTCTTATGGCGGGGCCGGGCGGCGCCTGGAGTAGTCAGGCTGGGGGAGGCGTCCCGGAGGACCCGCTGTCCTTCCGCGCCTCCCGGGCCGTTCCGCGGCGATTCGCGGTTTTCTCTGCGAGACTTCGCCTGCAGAAGACGGGGAGTTACAGATGTACCCTACCAAACGGGCCCCGTAAAGCCATTATCCGCCGTAAGCTAATAACACGCGGCTGCCGAGGCGTCATTAAAAAAAGAAGAACCTTCCTTGCTTAAGTAATGGGGAAATGTACTTTCTCCTTCAGGGTTGTAATGAATCTCTCTTCTGGTACAACAACAACGATTCCTGGGTCGGGAAGATCCCCTGGAGAAGGGCATGGCACCCACTCCAGTGTTCTTGCCTGGAGAACCCCATGGGCAGAGGAGCCTGGCGGGCAGAGTCTGACACGACTGCGCGACGAACCAGAACACAACCGCAACAACGTTTAATATGCAGAATCAAAAGGAAAGACGAAATTTAAATAAAAAATAATCCTTTTTTAAGGAAAAAATAGCTTGGCATGTACCTTTTTCTGATACTTAATTCTAAATTTACCTCTCCGGTTATTAGTTAATAATGACAGAACAATCGCTAAAAGAATCAAAACCATTACTGTTTCATAAGCAAAACACATACGAATAGTTTATAAATAAAACAGCTATCATATTTCTTTACACTTCTGAACGGACAGTTCATTAAATTCTCTAGGCCAGAATACTGGAGTGTGCAGCCTTTCCCTTCAGGGTATCTTCCCGACCCAGAAATCCAACTGGGGTCTCCTGAATTGCAGGGGGATTCTTTACCAACTGAGCTATCAGGGAAGTCCCCATCTTTAGAAGAGGAATTTTTAAATGACCACATTTTGGCCTAGTTAGTGTGCTACTTAGTTTTGAGGGAATGTCCTTGGTTTTCTTACTAACATGATGGATTGATAGGTCCTCTCAGATATCTGACTTCCTTTGGGTTAAATGTGTTTTGTAATGCACTTAGAAGTAATTGCAATTAGATTTTAAAATTTAAAATGTGAATGTACATATTGAAAAATAAATCACATTTCTTTTTTTCTAAATTGAATGAAGCCATGGACAGGAGTTGTACTGGTGGATTACTCTGCAGGCACTCCCCACCTTTGGATGTGATACGTTTCTAGGAATTTTTCAAAAGCAGATACATTTTGTATGGAGTAACAATAATTAGCATTGTAGAGTTACATTAGAATCCGGTTGAGTGCTCAGCCCCTCAGTCCTGTCTGACTCTTCTGTGACCCCATGGACTCTAGCCCACCAGGCTCATCTGTCCATGGAATTCTCCAGGCAAGAATACTAGAGTGGGTTGCCATGCCTTCTCCAGAGTATCTTTATCTTTTCCAGGGATTAACCCCTTGTCTCTTGGGTCTCCTGCATTGGCAGGCAAATTCATTACCACTGGCCGGGCTGGAAATCCCTTAGAATCTCTACTTTGTCTCTATTCTGACATTGTTACTTAGATCTTGTGCTGTGCTGTGCTTAGTCGCTCAGTCATGTCCAATTCTGTGTGACCCCATGAGCTGTAGCCTGCCAGGCTCCTCTGTCCATGGGGTTTCTCCAGGAAGAATACTGGAGTGGGTTGCTATGCCGTCCTCCAGGTGCTCTTCCTGACCCAGGGGTGGAACCCAGGTCTCCTGCACTGCAGGTGGATGCTTCGCCATCTTAAATCTTACTGTAGCTAAAGGGAGTGACCATGTGGGTGGTAGGCAGGGTAGGAGGCATGCTCCTTTAAACTGTGTGTTTGGAATCTAGAAGTGCTCAGAGATGTCAGATAAAATATTTAAGTTGAAGGCTAAACCAAACTCAGCTTTCCTTCCTCTTTTTTAAAAAAATTGTTTATTCATGGCTGTGCTGGGTCTTCGTTGCTGCGCAGGCTTTTCTCTAGTTGCGGTGAGTGGGAGCTACTTTCTGACCCCTGTTCCTTTGATTCTCCCACAATATAAGAGTGTCTTTCTCAGGGACCTAAAAGCCATCCATTTGAAATGTAATCATCAGGAAAATAAGCCTCTGCTACCAAGTCCCTGTAGGAAGAGAGGTCTAACCTCCATCATGGCCAGCAGGCAAATACAGCTAGATTAAAAGAATTGACACTCCCCAACCCAATCACTGTAGATGGTGACTGCAGCCATGGAATTAAAAGACACTTGCTCCTTGGAAGAAAAGTTATGACCAACCTAGACAGCATATTAAAAAGCAGAGACATTACTTTGCCAACAAAGGTCCATCTAGTCAAGGGTATGGTTTTTCCAGTAGTCATGTATGGATGCGAGAGTTGGACTATAAAGACAAGTGAGCGCCGAAGAATTGATGCTTTTGAACTGTGGTGTTGGAGAAGACTCTTGAGAGTCCCGTGGACTGCAAGGAGACCCAACTAGTCCATCCTAAAGGCGATTAGTCTGGGTGTTCATTGGAAGGACTGATGCTGAAGCTAAAACTCTTAATACTTTGGCCACCTGATATGAAGAGCTGACTTATTTGAAAAGACCCTGATGCTGGGAAAGATTGAGGGCAGGAGGAGAAGGGGATGACAGAGGATGAGATGGTTGGATGGCATCACCGGCTCAATGGACATGAGTTTAAGGAAGCTCCGGGAGTTGGTGATAGATAAGGAGGCCTGGTGTGCTTCAGTCCATGGGGTCGCAAAGAGTTGGACACAACTGAGCGACTGAACTGAACCCTTTGCAATTATGCACTTTTGCCTTGCCCCTGCCGCTGCCACTTAGTTTTGTTTTGTTTTTTTTAAAAAAAAAAAACAGCTTTCTGGATGGGTAAAGTATATACTATAAAATCCACCCATTCTTAAATGTACAATTAAGTGATTTTCAGTAAATTTACCAAGTTGTGCAGCGATTTCGAGCATTCAGTTTAGAACATTCCATCAACCCAAGTGCCTATGTACTGTCTTGCCACCCCTGCCCCCAGGCAGACACTACTCTACTTTCTGTCTCTACAGGTTTGCCTTTTCTAAACATTCAATCTAAATTGAATTATACAATATATGTTTCTTCATCCTACATTCTTCCTTTAACGTGCCCAGTCCCTTCTGCACAAGTTGAAATGGAGCTCATTTCTTTCCTCTCTGGTCAGTAGTTACTGAATAAAATCTGTTTTCACTGCTTTAACTAGTATCTGGCTTTGTTATTTTTTACAATACTGCCCATCACCAATACACACACACACACACACACACACACACACACACACAGACGAAAATGGTAATTGACTTAAAGGGGTCAATATTTTGCCAAATAAAGACTTTAACAAAGCTTATTAGGGTTATTTTGTAAAGGAAAGGATATTTTAACACCAAGAATATGTTTAACTTTAAGAAAAATTCAGTTTGTTTTTGTTTTGCCCCAGGGCAGTAAGAACAAGCTCTGTAAACCATATTCCCAATTATGGCAAAAATTTCAGTTGTCTAATGTGACCTGGGCTTCCCAAGTGCTCAGTGGTAAAGAATCTGCCTGCCAATACAAGAGACCTGGGTTTGATCCCTAGGTTTGGAAGATTCCCTGGAGGAGGAAATGGCAACCCACTCCAGTATTCTTGCCTTGAGAATCCCATGGATAGAGGAGCCTGGCGGGCTACAGTTCATGGGGTTGCGAAAGATTCAGACACGACTTAGATTCCATAACAAAAATGATGTGACTGAAAGAGACTGGCCAACCTGGGATAAAAATGATCTCCAAAGTGATCATTCTAGGTGGGGGATTAGGGAGCCTTTTCCTCAATCTTCCTGTGAGCTTGTAAAGTTCCTTACTGTTTGTGGGTCTCAAGGTGATAGTGGGGGGGACCCCATTACAACTATGATTTTTGCCTATCTAACAGGATGGGGACTTCACATTAGAGTTAATTTGGGGGTGGGGAGATTCCCTATACAGTACACTTTGAGGTTAGAAATAAATACCTGTTTTATTCACATTCTTTGGAAATTTTCCCAAAAAAAAAACCCCCAAGCACCTGGATATCAGCCCGAGCTTTGCAGAAGTGCTTTCAAAATGTTGCTTCCAAATGAGAAGATGCTGATGCACATGGCAGGCCCCATCTTCTCTGGTTCATGCTGACAGCCTCAAATGGGAAAGCTGGGATCGGTCCATAGTACACTTCAGGTGTATGTCTCAAAGGTAGAATTCAGAAGTGGCTAAGTCATCAGAGGAGTTCCCTGGTGGCCCGGTGATTAGGACTCTGCGCTTTCCCTGCCAAGAACAAGGGTTCAACCCCTGGTCAGGGGACTGAGATCACCATGCTCCACAGAGCGGCCAGAAAAAATAAGTCATTTCAGAATATCAGATCTTCCTTACACCTGCTTAACTATTTTTGTTGTTTAGTCACTAAGTCATGTGACCCCATGGCCTGGAGCCCACCAGGCTCCTCTATCCATGGATT